TGTTCGGTTTGTTTACACCCCTAGCTATATATATATATATATATATATATAAGAGAGCTGAAAAATGAGATAAAAATAAAAGAGAAAATTGATTATTTTTTGGGACAACTTCTCCAAAATGCGATCAATTAAGTTGGCATTTAGAACTTGATAAATAAATTTAATAATTATAATTGAATTTATTTGATGAGGATAATCTAAGGTTTAGAGTCAAACATTTCTCATGCTGTTAACTCCATCTTATTTCAACTTAATGAGTCACTTTTAACATACCAAGTAAAATAATGCTTCATTAACCATTATTGATATAAATGAACATTGACATTGTCCTTTGAAAATGCTTCTTGTCACTTTCAAATATGTGCATTTAATCTTATATGATGGTCTTCTATAGATACAAATTTAAGAAGTTTTTTCAATCCATGACTAAATATAATAGCCAAGTGATCAATAATGTTTAAATACCCATACATTCATTCTAAATAAGTGCTCATGTCTCCAATCAAATCACCCAAAAATGAAATTTAGAATACACAACTTTTGTGAAACTTGGTTCGAATTTATAAGGACATAAGATTTCATAAATTCTCCCTCTCACAGTATATATATATATATATAATTGATGAGCAGTATTTCGAGCAAAAACAATTTGAGCACAAATGAACAAATCTTTTTTAATGTTCGGCTATATATATATATATAATACATAGAAATAAAATCATAAGGGCACTTACATTCACTACAAGCTATGAATGTTATATATATAATTAACCAAAGTCTGAGCAAATTGAACTATTAAAACAATCTTTTAATTTTATTTTTTTAATGTTTTTACTTGAAATAAAACATATTGTTATGTTACAATATATTAAGCCATTTTTAAATGCATTCAAAACAGCTTTTGAATATTTTAAGTGTTTTTAAAAACAAGCTAAGCTTTTTAAAAATAAAAATAAAAATAAAAATAAAATAAATAGGTAAATAAATATGATCCCAAACAAGCCCTTCAATTGAAAATGTAAGTATATAACAATTTGACAACTTCATTTGCAGATCACCAACAATAATGACGGCATAAGTAAGTCCAATGAAATACATAGAGCATATTTTAATTCATGCACAAGTAATTTTCTCATCCAAAGCAATAACTCAAGTAATGTTACATCAAGAATGTGTAACTTCTTTAAATATAAGTTAAGTTATGATAGTTATGGATGGTTATGGAACAATTCAAATATGTTCCAGCATTACTATAAAGTACAAGTAATGCTTGTGTGTGCCCATTTTTTATACTTAAATAACTAAAATATCATTGCATGCTGCCCAGTGTTGCTTCTCCTCAACAACCATAATAAGTGACTTGTGAACAGAGCATACAACCCTGACATGACGTGTTAGCTTGTGAGCTGGCATGTTTAAAAACTGTTGATATAAAATACGCTCAAAATATATTGAAATTGAAGTTTTAATCTTTAAATTATTGATAACGTGTAAAAAATGATGTTTTATATGTTGAATAAAGTGATTTTTTTTATATTTTATCAACTAATTACTCGTTCTATTTATCGTTTTAATGTACTATTAATTTGTATTAATATTTTTTTTCTCTTTTTTTCATAATAATTAAGTTTGTTCATGCGGCCAAAACTCGTAGAATTAAGCTCGAGTTTGAGCTCAAACTTGATTATGTTAATCAAATTTAAGTTCAAACTTCAGCCGAGGGTGGCTGTTTCTCGCACGTTTACAACCCTTCCGCTCTTGCATATAAAGTTACAGAAGAAATTTGAAAATTAAGAAAAGAAATTAAATAGCTAAATTGTTAGGGGAGATTCTCAATTCACATCATCATAAATAGCTTCGGACATTTTTCAACTTACAAATCACATAAATTGTTTTTTTTTTCCCAAAAATACAAGCTGTGTCAGCTAATCAACGGCTCTCATGCCTTTGGAGGAATCTTGGTGGTCGCCTCCATCAAGGGAGGGCAAACTAGTAATTTAATTATTTCCAAGGGTCAACTCATAAGAGAAATACACTCTTCCGCAAAGAATAAAAGCGTTTCATGGGCCGGCCTGGTATTATATAGTACGTAGAAGCATTAATCTTCTATAGGTGATTGGGTAAGGGAAGAGAAAATGTGATAGGGAAGGAGTGGGGGAGAGAGGGAGATGGTTAGATCCCCCCTTAAGTAAGAGGTGACAAAATATATTTATATATATAAAAAGAAAATAAAGATGTTAGTTGTAAGATATAAATCCCATCCACAATGTCCTCGTGACAAGAGTATGACGAGTCTATCAGCCAACTCTTCAATAGATGTAAACACATGTCTGTCTTTTAGTGATGTTGTTTATGTTGGCGGTTTACAAATTTGAAGGAGTGATTATGGAGAACTCGACAGGTCACTTCGACAAGTAAGCTCGGAAAATTACCTTGGCACGCTAGCTCGATATGTTATTTTACTAGGCAAGCTCGATAGAATACTTCAGCAGAGGAGCTCAACATATTACACCAACATGGGAGCTCGACAAATTGCTCCAGCATGCTAGATGGATAGCTTGCTTTTAATTTAGGCCACAAAGGTTAAAAGAAAAAAAAAAATTGAGTGATGGTGAGTAATAAACCTTAATCAATAAATAGTGGTTAGGATCCTAAAATTGGGTGATAATGGTCGCAAAAATAATGGTTGGGTGACAATAATCAAGCAACAATGGTTGGGTGGCGATGATTTATTAGCTATGTTCTAGTGACTGAGCAACAATGGTATGCTAGTTGTGTTCCAGTTATAATTACTTGATAATGCATGTTAAGTGATAATTATTTGAATGTGTCAATGATTAGGTGATGACCCAATGATTGTAACGGTCTAATAGTCATTTGTGTGGTGGAGATGTTCCCATGACCATGATTAAGTGATAGTGGTTCAATGGTGATGATCAAGCAACGACGACAAAATGAAGACAGTGGCAACCGAGAGGTGAAGACAGCTGAAAGGAGACAGGAACGACGATAGTCGGAAGGAAACAGGGGCAACTCGCAATGACAATAAAGGAGATTGGTCGTAGCTCCCTCTTATGCAAACTCTGCTCTCTCTCTCTCTCTGTGTGACTCTGAGCTTTTTTCCCCCCTCATAAGGGGCTTAGGCTCTATTTTTAGAGTTTAAATTGCATATAAGACATGAATCCAAAACACTCTAAACACTCGTGATCGAACGATCGAGAGAGATCATCTTAATCGGATGACGTTCAATGTATGTTTAATTGTTTTATTAATGTCGGAATTGAGTGATTTTAGGCTCGTTGTATTAGTCTCCCCAATACGCTCGATTTGACTATAAGCATATCATATTCATCAGTTTGATCTTCCT